TTGAAATAAAAATAAAATAAAACACAATTTAAAAACTGTTTTGTGTTACAGGCATTAGCTAAACAAAACACATTTGTATAATATCATGTGCTACATGACTAAAGTATTTTTGGCCGATTTACTTTTCTGTCTAAAGTAGATGGGCAATATGCATCCATCCAGGGATTCTATCAAACTGCAACTCCTGCCAGCCTTTGTTTGTATTGGCAATGATTACAGTTCAACAGCTGGAAGTCACAAGCTGCCTACTACTGAGTTAAGAAAGCACAAAAGAAAACATTGTCTGGCATCCAACAGTGATCTAGTGCAAGTAGAAGTGACCCTGTGGAAGAAGAGCTTTCTGATTTCGCACATCAGTCTCAGTCTCCTATGATTGTATAACAAGGACAAGCAAACTGTAGCAAAGACTGGTTTTCTCTGGAAATCAGTCAGAAAGGCACCTCAGAAATGACCAGAAGTCTACTTTGAGCCTTTGCAGGCAAGAAAAAAAGTATCTGAAAGTCCTATGTCTTTGCCTGTACAAAGTAATTTTATTTCTTAAATGTACACATGTTTTCCTCATCCCATCACCATTAACAAAATTGATATGAAAAAGTGATTAGTAAACCCAAATTCTCAAGGGCACTGCTTTTGGAAAACATAGGAAGGTGCAGCAAGGAAAAAACAGAAAAGTCCAATTTAGCACGTGAAGCTCTGTTCATAGTTGCAAAGTTGTATTTATACCACATGAGATGGTTGGAATAGGCTAGAAAGCACATTCTTTAATATATCCATAATTACATAATTTTAAGTCAGCATACTTTGATTAACCTTATTGAATCTACATATAAATGACACTACTATTCTCAGATAGGATAATGCACAGTGCTTGATTTGATTTAGTTCAGTAGCATGGAATGAGAAACACCAGTGCTGACTCAAAATGCTCTCATTTAAAGGCTCATGGATAAAGATGACTTTTTTAAAATCATGTGTCTATTTACGCTATATATTTTCCCATATTTATGCTATCATATTTTCCATATTTCAACAGTATAATCTTCTCATAAATCTATAATGTAAGAAAATAGTTAGATTTCATAGTAACTTTATAACATAAATTTCCCAAATTGTTTTCTGCTGTAAAATGCTCTTTATTTCATATTCCCGTGAAAACAGGTTGCTATTCTAACATCCACTGGAAATATTTTTCTGTACATATTATTATTAAAGGCACATTTATCAGCATAACAAACTTACTAAGAAAATGGAATGGCATGTAAAATGAAATAAATACAACAAACCTTTTAAAAATACATTCTTAAAATAATTCACATTATATAGATTTTTGTGACCATTATATTTAAAGTGAAATAACCTCATCTACCTTGGGTTACCAATACGTATTTCTCCCTGGCAGAAAATGCATACAAAATGGTACTACAGTAACATGCACAATTTTCTTCAATGATTATCTCTGCATGCGGAGCTTTTTCAGAAAGGTTAAATGGCATTATTCAGCTGTTTGTGAGAATGCACTGCTCTCTTCACATTGAAAATAACCAGGCTTGCAATATTATTGAAAAAACTCCACATAAGCAGTAAGAGGTCCATGCATAATTTTTAGTTTAATGACTAATACCCCACATTCCCCTACTAGCACATTTTGCGCAAAGACTCACAAAGATAAAAAAGATCAAATTCATAATACTATTGCTTTGGAAGAAACCAAAAGTAGTATTTGAAAACAATCCATTATGGTTAGCAAAGTGCTGTTTGGAACCCTAAAAACTAACAAGTTTTATTTGCCATAAATATGTTGCCATCCAACAGAGTTTGTTAACGATCACTGTTAAAAATGTTCACGAATTCTACTTTCTGCATTGTTTCCTTTTGCCCCACTGATTACATACACAACCAAGATCTTTAACAATAATCTACCAATTCAGACAGAATTCCATGGGTCTGATGAAATGGCTCCTGTTCATAAGAACTTATGCCTAATAAAACTTGCTAATATTTAAAAGTGCTATAAGACTCATTGTTTTTGCTGTAACAGGCTAACACAGCTACTTCCCTAGACATTTCTACTAAGAATGCAATCTTATGCACACTTACCAGAGAGTAAGCCCCACGGAATGCAGTGGGACTTATTTCTCACTAAACATGCATAATATATATCTGTACCGATGTGAAAATTATTTTCAATCATTAAAAAAGTCATTTCAGTGATTCACATGAAAGGGGGTGATGAAAAAGGTGGAAATGAAGAAATAAATGCCTCTTATTCCAATGATCCAGATGAACAATGTTTACAGCAGCAGAGACCCTCAAGGGTCACAGTCCAAAATGATAACCTATTTTGCTACAAATGAAAAATGTTTGCCTCAATCTTTCCTCACTTAACAAAAGAGAGAGGGAAAAACCAAGCATTATTGTTTATCTCATCTTGTCACAACTGTGAAATTGCTTCCAGTGTTCTCTGAAGTGCTTGCATAATACAGTCATCACACGGATATGGATCTTCTTCTGTTCGTATTTGGTTTTTCTCTGTCAACGAATATATATACATAATTAATGCTGTATTAGGGAAAAGCTGCATATAAATTACAAAGCAAAAGAATATTGAAAACATTTGTAAGAACTATGTAAATTTGTGTACCATCAATTATTATGCAAGACCAAATGAAGGGTTGAAAACATGGTACATGACTATAAATTAAATGTTGAACAGAAGAATGATGAGGAAGAAGTAATTAAAAAACGTGTGATGCCTATAGTGAACAATTACTTCCCTATCCCCTAGAACAGGCCTGTACAACCCATGGCCCTCCAGGTATTTTGGACTTCAGCTCCCAGAATTCCTGAACATTGGCTAAGCTGGCAAGGGCTTCTGGAAGTTGGACTCCCATCTGGAGGAATGCAGGTTGTAAAGATGATAATAATAATAATAATAATAATAATAATAATAATAATAATAATAATAAAAACTTTATTTGTAGATCGACCTATCCCTCCGAAGGTACTCAGGGCAGTTTCCAACATATATGACAAACATTCAATGCCAAAAAGAAAAGACATACAAACAAATTACATCAAAACAGGCCACATCACACAATATAAAAGCAACCTAACTTTAAACTTAATAACAGACAAAAATATCCAAAGATGAAAACTTAAATGGCCCATATCAACATAAACACATAATATAAATTTATTACTAGATAAAAACATCTACAAAGTAATAATTAAAAGCTTATAGAAAAATAAGATGATATGCAGAAACTGATAGGCTAAAATAATTTCCAGTATCTAGACAAGATTTAACATATCTAGGTGAATGTGTAAGTCGAGGCATTGGCCTTCCTCTCCATACACCAGAGTACATAGATGGGTTTATAGCAACTTTTTGAAGGCGATGGGGTGGGGACAGTTTTTTGTTCTTCTGGAAGGGAATTCCAGAGGGGGGTAGTGATAATGGAGAAGGCCCCCTCTCTCATTCCCACCAGCTATGCTTGAGACGCGGATGGGACCGAGAATAGAGCCACCTCCGCAGATCGCAATGCTCAAGCCAGTTTGTATACAGAGATGCAGTTCTGCAAATAGTCTGGGCCTGAACTGTTTTTTTAGAGACCTGCTCTAGATAAATGTGTAATTCAGATTGCTCAAAATTCTAAAACACTGATGTGGTAACTAGACTTGCAATTGAGGAAGAAAGTGTTTGTTCTCCTGTGTTTTACTCTGCCTTAACAATGACTACATTAGCCCAAAGGATGACAAAAGGGAAAGGCACAGTTCTTTTTGTAGATTCTATAAAGGCGATCGAATTTCTTTGACAGCAGAGGAACTGAAGGTGGTGAAGCTTGAATTTATTCTTCTTGCATTACAGTTGTCAAGATCCCAGTTTGGAATTTTTTCTCATACTCACTGGGCTTTTAAATGTCATGGAATATGATTCTAACTAGGCATGTGTGCAAACACAAGGAAAATATGCAGCTGTGTTGTAGTGGCACACATTATGTGTGTGAATCATAACCACAAACCACCACCAAATTTTCCTTTCAAAGAGCCCTGATCTGTTTTATACATAGCAGAAGGAATATTTATTTATTTACTATATTTATACCTTCTTAACCCGAAGGTGACTCAATAGTTACACACAGGCAACTATTCAATGCCTTAACAACATACAATTAAAATAAATATTTACATTAAGATTAAAATTAATACACATTAAAACAGTTAAAAACATTACATCCATTTTAAAAACCACGCCATACACAATCCTAATCCGGGGCCATTCCAGTAGTCATTGCACATATTCCATATCCTATTGCACTTCCTCAAATGCTTGATCCCAAAGCCACATTTTCACTTTCTCTCTGAAGGCCAGGAGGGAGGGGGCTGATCTAATATAACTGGGGAGGGAGTTCCACAACTTGAAGGGTCATCACTGAGGCTCTGTCTCTCATCTTCACCAGTTTGGACAGGTAAGTTGGGCCAGGACCGTTTAGGGCTTTATAGGAAAATGTCATTTCCCAGACTTGTATATAAGGAGGCAGACAGATGAACTATGAAAAAACTGAAGATTTTCTTACGTATTTTCTGTTTCATGTCTATGACACACATGATGTGCATGTATAATTACTGAAGAAACTGCAGATCTTAAGACACACAGTTTGTGTTGAATACTGACGCATTTTAATGAACTGAATATAAATATAGGCCAAGAGATCGAGATAGTATAAGAGAGATGTGCCACAAATCACCAACTCTAGCTAAACTATTTGGACAAATCCATTTAATTTCCCAGATATTTGGAAGACCAAAACCAATTTTGATTATGTGCTGCTTTCCCCCTTCTTATCATAGATATAGTGTTCCCTACCCAGTAGATCCTGGCTTGACCCACCCACTTCCCATTCTCACATAAGTGATCAGTGAGGGTCTTACACAGGATTCAAACTGGTTAATATTTCTTACTAGCAATCTTAGACATATTGTGCACAATCAAGACATACCATGATTTATCTGTTGCTATTGAGTTCTTTCTTCACACATGATTTGAAAGTTGTGTATTTCTGCACACTTTTGTATCCCTGAGAAGCAGAAGACAAAGAAATCAGGAATGTGTAAGCAATAAGTGAAGACAGCCGAAGATTAAAATGAGGAAGGGAATATATGATAGTACAAAGGAATACTTCTTGTCAGCAAAAGTAATTTTAGAATCTAATATTAATGTACTTTGATATACCTGAGAAAAATATCAAACACAGGGATGGAAGTCATTGGCCTTCAAATGATCTTAGCCTGCAGTTCCAAGAGATTCCTTGGACTCGCTGTCCAAATAATATGTGGAGGGGCAAATATTCCCATGCCTGCTTTAACAAAATGTTTGTGATAGTTTTAATGTTAAAAATCCTCCTGTTTTGTTTCATAACAAATCTTTGGAATCTCTCTCTTAAATAAGATACTGTGAAAATCTCTTCCATTTGTAACCTTCATGGAACTTAGTATTTATTGCCCAAAAGATGTTAAATTATCTGGCAATTTAGTGACTGTCCACAAGATGGCAGGTAAACACAGGTCATACAACAAGAAATTGGTTTTAAATCAGTCTACAAAACGATGTTGAAAGCAGGGAATGAAAATACAGAAAAAAGAATGTCTATTTCATATTCTAAAAGTTAGTTTAGAAACTTTAAATGCTATAAGCTAACCAACTAAAGCACATTCTATGTATCCATAACTATCCAGACAATTAGCAAGTCCACAGTACTACAACAGATTTTATATATAATCACAGATGAAAGAAATAAATTTTGTCACTACATTTGGAGGCAGTATTAAAATGGGTCACTGACTAGCTGAAATATTACTACTACATAGATTTATTCTACAAATTAAATTAGTAAGTGTGCTATAATGTTGGACTAAGAACCCAGGAGTATGCGTGCATATATAGTATGTGTATTTGTGTGAAAGTGCTTTCAGATTGCCTGTTGACTTACGGCGACCACATGGAGACTAAGGTTCAAATCCCTCCTCAGTGAAGGAAGCTCAATGGGTCACATTGAGCAAGTCACTCAAAGGAGGGCAATGGCAAACCACCTCTGAGCAAATATTGCTAAGATAGGTTCAGCTTAGAGTGCCATAAGCCAGGCGCAACTTGAAAGCACACATCAAACAGGAAAGTAAGTGAAAATAATTGTTATTTTAGATTAGAGTATGCAAAATGCTAATATGCTTAATGATGATATCTATGAATTTTATTAAGATGTTAAATATATGTATCCTTTTTTTTCTCTTTAAAATACCATGTATTTTCTTGTCATAGGTATTGGTTCCTTGTTATCACATCTTTGGAAAAATTGTTAACTATATGTTCCGATATTAAAAATAAAATAAAGAAATAGGAAGGTAGAAGGTGACTTCTGATCAAATGGATAATTCTGGTTTTGACTGTAGCTCAGACCAAGCCCATTTTTCCTGGTACTTGGAACTAGCCAAAATACAGCAGCGGGGTAACTGCCTTGTGAAGGTGCACTCACAGTCTATTTTCCGCCCTCTCTTTGTGGCAACTCCAAATTCTTCCTCATGATTAAAAAACACTACATCAAATTGAAAACATTCTTTTGAAACTGGTATTAGAATTCAAAATAGGGAACCAGAAAGTTGTAATCAAGTCCCACAGACAAGAAATGGTAAATGCCTTGTATTATTTCCACCGAAGAGAAGCCTGTAGTCTCCCATGGCTACTTTCCTATTCTCTACCACATTTGGTTGAAGTTGAAAATATAGGCAGGCTAAGAGAGGGGCAAAATTGGGCCACTTCAGACTGAGTGAAACAAAACCCCCGCAATTCTATTTGATCTGAAGAACTGAACAGGCCAACTGATTTACAGGCTAAGCGTACACATGGTTCCCTATTCCATTAATCACAATTGATTAAAACTCTTTTTATCAGGTTGTTTTGTGAAAATTGTAAGATGGATTCTTACATTTTTATTGCTCAGATGAGTGTAATTTTAAAACATACATTAATACAAAATGATGCTATATTGTAGAGTTCTTTTAAAATTCTGTGACAAAATTAATTTCCACCAACTAATATTCAGTTTATTGTCTTTAGAGAGGAGAAAGGGTTCTAGATCCAATTTCTAAAACTACTCGGTAAGCAGCAGTCCATAAATTTTGATGACAAGATTACGCCTACTGCATAATGAACTGAGGACCTACTTGATCACCTGCAAGTTGGATCAGACCGTATTTGATGAAGACATGGCTATAGGGGAAAAAAAGAAATCCGCCTCTATAAATGAAGGGTTAGTAAACCTATATGATTAATAGGTTTAATTCAAGAACTGTTAATTAAATATGGACTTGGTTTTCACAAACATAACACTGCTATTCACCATAACATAGTATTAATATGTCGATAACAAAATACAAGTATTTTTAATGTGACAAACTTTTGTGTACTCTTTGATGTTCAATAGCAGGGCAAAATGTATAAAAAATAAAAGCAACATTCCTGGAATTGTTCTAGAAATAATAATGCTTAATCTGTTAATAGGCTGCTTACACACCAGGCACAATTGAAGCACAATTATTATATAAGTAAGAGATAAGGTTAAATTCTTACTCTGAATCCTCGATGTAATCTGTCTTTCATAATACCAATAAATTCTTTGTGGCTCAGCTGATCATCTTTGTCTACATCAAAGATCCTAAAGACAGTGCTCACTAAATGTGGTGAAAGCTTCAAACCTGTGGCTACATATACTGCACGCTTGAACTCATCTAAGGAAATAAAGACAAATTAGCTCACTTTACAAAGCCATCACATAATGGTAATTTTGATACAAAAACAGTCTCTTTCATCAGTATGATCTGAATACATTCTTCTAAGTAAGATTCTATGCTGTATGAGTAATGGGGAGGAAAAGGGTTACTTTTTGCATACTCTGAAAACACAGCCTACATGGGAATGGAAGGGAATACATTTGTGGTTCAAATACAGCCTGGACCTATGGATCCTGAAATCTGAGAGAAGATTAAAAAAAAGGGTTGCCACAGTGCTTAGGAACATTCTGCCCCTTCCCTCCAGTACAACTACTGTGGCATCACATTTTTTCCTGGTACTTGGAACTAGCCAAAATACTGATTTTCCCATTTTGAGGATTGGTCTGTGTGCGTTTGTATACAAAGGGAGCTAAATGGCCAGGTTTGAAGCTTTTTTGTGGTGGTTTGAGTATGATTTTTTTGGGATGTGGAGCCCCTGGTGGTGCAGTGGGTTAAAGCATTGAACCACTGAACTTGTTGACCAAAAGGTCGCAGGTTCGAATCCAGGGAGCGGTGTGAGCTCCCACTGTCAGCCCCAGCTTCTGCCAACCTAGCAAACATGCAAATGTGAGTAGATCAATTGGTACCATTCCAGCAGGAAGATAACGGCACTCCATGCAGTCATGCCGGCCACATGACCTTGGAGGTGTCTATGGACAATGCCGGCTCTTCAGCTTATTTATTTATTTATTTATTTACTTTGCTTATATACCGCTGTATCTCAAGCCCGAAGGTGACTCACGGCGGTTCACAAACAGTAAAAACAGTAGAAACAGCAGTGGTTCCATACAACATATGGAGATGAAGATGAGCACCACACCCCAGAGTTGGACATGACTGGACTTAATGACAGGGGAAAACCTTTATCTTTACCTTTTTTTTTTTGGGATGCATAGGTCCTGGGGCATTTGGAGCTTCTAAATGGGCTCCATGTGGCACACAGGCACCACTTTCCCTACACCAATTGCTGGTTTTTGGCTATAATTACTGCACTCCAACTGAGTCCCACAGGCAACCACTGGAAGTGGCCTTGCATCTTGAGATGGCCTCTGTGGGACTCCATTTCGGCAGTGTGGAGAAATGGAGAAAAAACTGTGGGATGAGGACCTTAGAGAAACCAGGATAGCCTCATCCTGCTTGCCTTTTGTCATTAGGTGAAAATGTTTATCTGCCATCAGGCATTTGCAACTGACAAGGGTTCAGGTGTTAAATGCTACGTGATCTGCATTTTAAGATTTGTATAAAGCTCGTAATACATTTTAATATGTTTATGTTTAATGTGGGGTTATTTAGGATTACTCATTTATATTTGTTTGTTTTATTGAGGGATTGAATGTTTGCCTTTTTGAATGTTGGAATCTGTCCTGAGGGGTTTTTTTTTTGGGAGATAGAATGGAATATAAATAAAGTTATTATTATTATTATTATTATTATTATTATTATTATTATTATTATTATGGTTTTAAGAGTATAACTTGTTTCACTGTTCTTTAAATTTTTATATTTATATTTTGAAGTCCTTGTTTTGCTTATATTTATTGTTAGCCACCTGGAATTCCTATCTCAGGAGAAAGGTGGGATAAAAATAAAGTAGATAAATAATAATAAAGAAGCCTATGAAAAAGTCAACAGGTGGCTTGAATGCACATACAGACACAATCCTTTTATGTAGCAGCTACTCCATCTTGTGGCTCGATATTATATATTCACTTCTTTATTCTTGCAGTTATTGAATATATTTACTTCTGTCTTCACCTCTTGTAAGCTAGAATGCATCCATTGTTTTTCTAAGTTTTAAATAAAAGAAAATACAATCAAACCTCTACTCTTTCAACCACTTTGTTCACTAAAGTTTTACAAAACCATTTTTCATCTACTTCAAGTCATATTATTTTCATTATTCTGATCAAGGATTATTATTAGTATTTAATTTAAATATTATTAGTATTTCTATTTCTTGAGTGGTAGGACTTTTCAACAACCCAGTCCAGGTCACTGGATACTTATGGTGTTTTATATATTATTGTTATTTTTTTTTAAAAACACCCAATATCCAGGTGAATATACTTAATGACTCAGAGAGTCTGCAAAATACTGCTCGGAACACTGTCTCTTTTAGCCCCTATCTTGAATTGGAGTTCTTTTCAAATATGGATTTAAATTACCCCATCCTTACTGTGAGGGAAAGGATGACAAGGAAGGGGAAGGATGGCAAGGTGTGCCTTCAATACCACTTCAGATCATTTCTTTTGGAACAATCCAGAGTGGTCCTTATAATTTAGTAACTTTTTACATTGCACAATCATAGCACTTTAATGCCACTTTGCCACGGAATCTGGGTTTTGCAGTTTTGTGAGGTATTCAGTTTCTTCTTCTAAAATACAAGGATTACAACATTTGAAATGAGCCCCGTTTGCTGAACTTTATTTGGAAAAGAGCAAGACATATGGTCTATTGTATTCAAATATGAGGAAAAACTACTTTTACATATGACACTGGACATAGTGACACATAGAATCATAGAGTTGGAAGAGACCTTGTGGGCCATCGAGTCCAACCCCGCCAAGAAGCAAGAAAAGCACATTCAAAGCACCCCCGACTGATGGCCATCCAGCCTCCGCTTAAAAGCCTCCAAAGACGGAGCCTCCACCACACTCTGAACAGCTCTCACAGTTAGGAAGTTCTTCCTAATGTTCAGGTGGAATCTCCTTTCCTGTAGTTTGAAGCCACTGTTCTGCGTCCTAGTCTCCAGGGCAGCAGAAAACAAGCTTGCTCCCTCCTTCCTATGACGTCCCCTCCCATATTTATACATGGCTATCATGTCTCTTCTCAGCCTTCTCTTCTGCAGGCTAAACATGTCCAGTTCTTTAAGCCGCTCTTCACAGGGCTTGTTCTCCAGACCCTTGAACATTTTAGTTGCCCTTCTCTGGACACATTCCAGCTTGTCAACATCTCCCTTAAATTGCGGTGCCCAGAACTGGACACAGCATACCAGGTGTGGTCTGACCAAGGAGGAATAGAGGAGTTGCATGACTTCCCTGGATCTAGACCAGTAATTCTCAACCTGTGGGTCCCCAGATGCTTTCACCTTCAACTCCCAGAAATCCTAACAGCTGGTAAGCTGGCTGGGATTTCTGGGAGTTGTAGGCACCTGGGACCCACAGATTGAGAATCACTGTTCTAGACACTATACTCCTATTAATGCAGGCCAAAATCCCATTGGCTTTTTTTTGCTACTGCATGACATTGCTGGCTCATGTTTAACTTCTCGTCAGCCATCGTGTCTCCCACCATCTTCGAGCTCAGTGAAGTTTTATGCAAAAGCAGCAAGATGTTGAACTCCAAGATCTTTTTCACACGTACTGCTGTCGAGCTAGGCATCCCCCATTCTGTATCTCTGCATATCATTTTTTTCTGCTTAAGTTGAGTATCTTGCATTTGTCTCTGTTGAATGTCATTTTGTTAGTTTTGGCCCATCTCTCTAATCTGTTAAGATTGTTTTGAATTCTGCTCCTGTCTTCTGGAGTATTGGCTATCCCTCTCAATTTGGTGTCGTCTGCAAACTTGATAATCATGCCTTCTAACCCTTCATCTAAGTCATTAATAAAGATGTTGAACAGAACTCTGTACCCCATCCAGCATTCAAAATTGAGAACCTACATTTCTGTTTTCCTAAAATATAATTACATTGCTGACAGGCATGCTCACCTTGTCCTATTGAACGGTTTGCAAAATTATACATCTGCATCGCAATTGCAAAATCTTCTAGATTGTTCAAAAACTGGAAAAATGATCTGAATTCATCAAATGTAATGCCCTGTTAAATAAAATGATGTTGACATAAATACCACAAAATAAACAATACAGAACTGGTGGAAAAGTGGAAAAATAAATGAACAAACAACAGTAACCATCTGTTTGAATAGGTCTAGAATGCAAGACACTGAGTAGGCAGGAAGACAACAGAAGAACACACATTACTTAATTATCTGGAATTGAGTTCAGCAAGGAAAAAGGAGCAACATTGGAATCAGAGGATCTAACATCTGCTCCTTCCATCATGGAACACATCTGAACATGACCCGTCACTAGTGGCAGCTTGACTACCATTTCAGTATGAGCCCTTATGGTGAAATATTTCCTCCCCACTATCCCCAGAATTCGAACGTATCAATATAATCCTAATCCACTTCAACCATCATTATTTCCTGGCTATAATTGCACACAGATTCTCTCTCTACTCCTGTGTTGGCAAAGAGCAATTCTTAAGATGCAGTTGGACTGTCAATTCCACCAACCTCAGCTAGCATAGGAAGTTCATCTCTGCTCTTTTCAATTCTTTGGGGAAGGGAGGTAAGAAAAGCCTATTCTGTTCCCCTTACACTTGAAATTAAGATGCATTTCTTCCATTTTTTAATATTTTTAATAACTCATTTTAATGTTTTAAAATTAGTATTGTATTTTCACCTATAGCTGCTGAAACACTGCATCACAGTATCAATCCCCAGTGCCTGCTTTCTCAGTGCAAGCTCTTAGCTGTCACTAACTGCCAAGTGGTGCTTATGGGTTCTTTCTTTTTAAGTGCCACGAGCTAAAATACTGACACTGCTGGAAAGTGTAGCCATCTGAAAATAAATCAAACTGTTTACAAGAAGGTGAAAATAGTTAAACCCGATCCTTCTGCAAAGAAACAGAGAGAAATGAACCCAAACCATCCTGTACTTGAAAGGGTGCTGCTAACATCCACCTGACTGCTTTGCACTGATGCATTCAGTTTCCAACAGAGCTGTTTATTGTTTACATTTACTGTTGACAGCATATCTGTTTCCTAACAAACAGACTGGCAACCAACATTATGTATTTACTCCAACACCCAACTTTTTGTAAACCTCTGAGTAGTGCGGAAGCACTCACTCAATATTGGCCTCCTACAAATGATACTCTGCTAAAAATACTAGGAAAGTATGTAAAAGGTGTCTCTGTTCTAATCCTCCCTCATCTCATAGCTTTTCTTTTTCAAACATGAATGACAACAGGGATATATATGGTAGTGATCCTTTCAAAATGAATAGTTAAAGCTATGTTGTTTTCATATTAAGCACTGATAAACAGGAAGTCAATTAAGGCCTTTATTCCCCAAATTGGTAGAAAGTGGGTATAGAAATAAAACAAATAAATACATCTCCAATGAAGCTATATATAGGGGTCTAACAATGGCAAATCTGCCATATGGTATTGTGACATTTTATCACATTAGCTGTTAATATTAAGCCATCCATGGGTATATTATGATGAACACCTAATTCCAGATGTTAAAACAGTCACTCAAAACACTTGGAACAGACTGAAGCTTACCATAATTCAGTAATGATAAAATGTCATCAATTGCAAATGTTGCTGATGGCAAGGCCCTTTTTTGAAAGCTCACCTGCTCTTCTGGGATACTGCTGTGCACGTTTTCCAGATAGCTTGATGTATTTTCAACATTTGTGTATCTTAAAAGTATATGAGCGAAGTCTTCTTCACTGATGGTAGTCATCCCATTAGAGTAAGAAAGGAATTCTATTTCAAGAACTTCAGTTTGGAGGTTATCCATAAACCTAAATTATAAAAATATTGACAGGATGTAGAACTCCAATTGTGCAGGTGAGGGAGAGAACCCTAATATATCAGACATTTCAGTTCTAAGCAGCAACAGCATCCCTTAAAATACTGTGATGGAAGAGCAGTCACTTTAGGGTCCCTTCCACACAGCCGAATAAAACCCCACATTATCTGCTTTGAACTGGATTATATGGCAGTGTGGACTCAGATATCCCAGTTCAAAGCAGATATTGTGGGATTTTCTGCCTTGACATTCTGGGATATAGGGCTGTGTGGATGGCCCCAGAGAGAACTATTTGTGGAAGTTCATACTCATGATTGCTTTGGTAAGAAAGACTAATATGTGGAGACTTGGAAAAAAATAGAACGTAAAATAACACTGAAAACTTTATTTCCCTACAAACTACGGGCCCTTCCACACAGTCCACACTCAGACAATGTGAGATTTCCTGCCTTGATATTCTGGGATATAGTACTGTGTGGAAGGGCCCTATGTGTTTGTAGTAGCTGAAATGGCCAAGTTCTATTACATCCATCCTGTTTTCCTTAGTAGAAGTAATTTTTCAACTGGAAACTAAGGCCTAAAATGTAAATCTTTTCCTTAGCAATGATGTAATCACTGGCGTTCCTTTCCTGGAAACATCTAATAACAAAAAGGTAGAACTTCCAATATATAAGGTCAGGAGAGTATTTCCCAAAATAAAATTTAACAAACAAAGGAACCACACACAGAGACAACAATATTATGGAAATGTATTACTTCTGGTATGCCATATATTAAATTCTTGTATATAACTAATGTACCAAAGGAAGGCTCACCTATAAAAATCTTCAAAGTTAAGTTCAGCTTTTCCTTTTTTGCCAAAAAAGTGGATCAGCAGAGTAGTATCTGACAGTAAATTGGTGATGTCATCTGCACGCTTAAAAGATATATTACCATTTGACATTAAATGCTTGAATGTGAATATTTTAATAAATAAAAAAGGCCTAACAATGCATTACTTACAAAAGAGTGATAGTTTTAAGTCTAAATGCATTCATGCAGTAAATTAAAACTATTATATTTGCAAAATCAGTTAGTATATATTAGTCAGATCATAATTGCGACACAACACACACATCAATTGTTATTGTTTACAATCCAAATTTACATCATGAGCATGGTATGGTCCACAATGATAAAACAAAAATATCTAACTGGGTTAAGTGAATTAGAACTTTGAAATAGGATAATGAATTTGTATGTTTAAAAAGTATTATACTAATTCCAAACACAATACAGTTTGGCTCCCATATTCCCAGGAGTAAGGGGCATAGGACTCCTGAACAGTAGCAAGAGAGAGCAGAGGAGGTGGATCATTGGGAAGGGGGTTTACAACAGACATGGGCAAACTTCAGCTCTCGGTGTTTTGGACTTCAACTCCCACAATTCCTAACAGCCAGTAAGAGTTGAAACCCAAAACACCTGGAGGGCTGAAGTTTGCTCATGTCTGCTTTATAATCTGGCAGCAGGAAGAAAGTCTTTGTGTAGGGAAGGTGCCAGGACACAAAGGGGGGGGG